TACTGTGGTGTTGGCTGGGGATATCTAAACGCCGAAGTCGGAATATTGTTTTCTGATGAGCTTAATCTTGGCGGCCAACATGATGTAGACTCCCGTAATGATAACGGTGAGCGATTGCTACAACTGTGTGAAGATACTCGCCTCTTTCTCGCGAGCACTAACTTTCGACACAGCACCCGCAGAAGCGTGACTTGGCGGCTACTAGCCTCGGGCCAGCCATGGACGCAAATCGATCATATCACGATCAGTTCCCACTGGAGAGGCTGTGTCCAAAACTGTCGCTCGATTGGGAGCACGAGTGTGGACTCTGACCACGCACTTGTCTGTGCCGACCTCCGGGTGCGTTTCGGTGGACGTCCGCAACCTCGATGTGAACGGTTTGACACCAGCCAGCTGGCGAAGCCAGGTGTTCTGAATATGTATCAAAGTGCGCTGACATCTGGGCTGAGTAAGCGCTCACTAAACACCGTCGAAGATCAATGGTCGCATATTCGTCAAACGTTACTGTTAGCAGGCATGTCTTCATGTCGCAAAGCAAATTGCCAAACCGGACATTGGGTCTCTACACAGTCTCTGGAACTTATGGATGCTCGCCGACGTATTCCGGCTGGAAGCGAATACAATGAGGCTCGCAAAAATCTCAGGGCAAAACTACGTGCTAGCCTGAAGAAGGACCGCGAAACCTGATGGTCTCGTCGTGCCTCTGAGATGGAAACATCGGCTACCGTTGGCAATCATCGTAAGTTATTCCTTCTGATACAGGAAACAGGCGGCAGAAGACCTGGTGTTAGCGAGGCCCTACGCGACGAGGGTGGGCAGCCGATCCACAGCCTGTCAAAACGCTTGGATCGTTGGGCGGAACACTACAAGGCAATCTAACCAACCTGAGTTATCAGTTTCTTTTTCGGGCATTGAGCGCCCTTCTCCCTGGGCCGTCTCCTTGCATCCGCCCTCACGCGCAGAACTCGAACGTGAGATCAGGCTGTTGAAATTGCATAAGGCCACAGTCAGATAGAATTCCCCCAGCCCTCTACAAATGAGGGGGATCTGCTCTGATAGATTATTTACACGAGTTGCTAATGAAACTTTGGGAGCAGGAGACTGTCCCGACAGACTGGAACCGCTCCGTCATTGTCCCAATTTTCAAGGTTAACTCCCGTTTGGTATGCAGCAATCATAGAGGGATCAGTCTGATTTCGATTGCCTCTAAATTGTTTGCCTCTGTCATTCTCCACAGACTGACTCGTGAAACCCAGATTCGTGAAGAGCAAGCCGGATTTCGTCGAGGTCGGGGCAGCATCGACCACATCTTCACTTTGCGTCAATTGTTGGAGCACCGCCATGTTTATTGGCGACCCACCATTGTCGTGTTTCTTGACATAAAAGGTGCCTTCGACTCAGTCGATCGACGTGCCCTTTGGGACTGTCTGCTGAGAAAAGGTGTGCCTGATATATATGTAAACATTATCAAAGCGCTGTGCGCGCATAGTTCGGGCAGAGTAAGGTCTTACTGCAAGCTGTCGTCGCCCTTCAATATCTCCAGCGGTGTGAGACAAGATTGCCCGCTGTCACCTTTCCACTTCAACTTCGCTATTGATGAAGTCATGGAAACAGCGTTCGCTAGACACGACCTAAAAGGTGTGGAGCGACTTCTTGACTTAGAGTATGCGGACGATGTTGTCCTAATCTGTGACAGCTGCCAAACATGCCAAGCAGCACTGGACCGATTAGCACTGGCTGTGTATCGTTTTGGGCTATGCTTTGCTCCATCGAAATGCAAAGTACTTCTCCACGATTGGGAGGGACCCAACCCTGCGCTAACGCTTTGTGGTGATCTACTAGAAGTCATTCAGGAATTCAACTACCTTGGCAGCTATATTAGCACCCGTGGGATTGAAGCTGAGGTTACGAACCGTATAGCTAATGCTCCCAGGTGCTTTTCCCAATCTCCGCCACCTGTGGCGCAGACGCGACATCACTCTTACCCTGAAGGGCAGAATTTATAACGCAGCCGTCCGTTCAACCCTCCTGTACGGTTGTGAAACCTGGCCCATCAGGTGGACAGACACAAAGCGGCTCGTCATATTCGGTCATCGCTGCCTTCGCAGCTTAGCTCATGTGGTGGGAGCACCTCTTGAGCAATGAGCGTGTTCTGCGTCGCGTATTTGGTGCGGGAAGAGCGAGTGAACCGCTCAGCACCATTATATCGCGCATCAGGCTCCGATAGTTGGGCCACCTGTTGCGCATGCCAGCACATTGACTTCCGCGACGTGCATTGTTTACGCGTTGTGGGTGCGGTTGGACGAGGAGGAGGGGAGGTCAAGCCATGACGTGGTCGATAGATATGAAAACCTTCACTTCGAAGTTGGCGTCGGTTGGTGCATCCCGACTGCCTGGCTGGGGTCCTAAGGACGGTGAACACGTTTGGTTGGACACACTTGCTGATATGGCTTAGAGCCGGCACCAATAGCGTTTGTGTTGTGAGTTCCTTTGTCCACCTCCCTCCTGCTTAGCGTCCCCCTCCAATCACGATCTCTTTAGGATAGCCAGCTGTTAGCTCTCCGGAACGATGTCCATCCGGTGCTGGGGACTCAGCCGGTGTGCCACTGTTTGTTTTCCTTTTCTTGTCTTTTGTATTGCGGCACAATAGCTGAGGTGTTTTCCACCTTCAGCCAACGTGAATAATGATGGTGATGGCGATGATGCTAATGAATCACTGGTTTTGTCATTGGGGAGCATCGCGGCAATTCCACTCTGACAGAGGCCCGTGTTTTGAAAGTTTGCTCGTACAGGAACTGTCGATTCCTGGGTATAGACAACTCACGTACGATGGCGTATCATCCCCAGGGTAATGGATAGGTGGAGCGTACGAATCCGTCGTTCACGTCCTTTCTGAAGACCGTGGACCAGGATGTCAACGAGTGAGACTGGTTGTTACCCAAGTGCTTATTGGATTTTAGAAGCACAGTTCACGCCTCCAACGGACAAACCGTTTTTATGTGGACCGTAAGAGAAGTCTGATTACCATCAGACTTCCGGCTATCTGGTGCCTTCGTAATTTAGCTCACATCTGGTGGGAACACCGCGTGAGCAACGAGCGTGTTCGACGCCTTGTTTATGGCACAGGAAAAGGAACTGAACCGCTCAGCACCGTTATTTCACGCACCAGCTTCCGATGGCTGGGTCACGTGTTACGCATGCCAGCCCACCGACTCCCGCGATGTGCGTTGTTTGCGCGCCGGGGGTGTCGATGGAAGAAGAGGAGGGGTGGCCAAGCGATGACTTGATCAAGAGGAATGTAGGCCCTCACTTCTGAGCTGGCCTCGGTTGGAACGTCTTGGCTCCCTGGTCGGGGTCCGAAAGACGATGAACACGTTTGGTTGGACAGACTTGCTGATATGGTTAGAAGCCGACCTCAGTGTCGTTCGTGCTGTGAGTTTCTTTGTCCCACCCCATCCCTCTTAGCCTCCCACTCCAACCACGATCTCATTATTTAACCTTATAGTTTTGCACAGTAATTTTTTTTGATGCACAGTAGCCGGCTGGTAGCTTACCGGAACGATGCCCATCCGTTACTGGTAGCTCAGCCGGCTTACAGCAGTTGCATTTTTTTCTATGTAGTACGGCACAGTAGCTGAGGTGTTACCCACCTCTAGCTAACGTGTATGATGATAATAATGATGTCGCGACAGGCTCACCCATCAGTGACCGAGTACGTTAGTAGACTCCTCGATTCACTTCATGCACACCAGTCTGCGGGCATTCATTTGGCGAACGCTTACCGACGTCGGAAAGACTGTTACGATAAGAAAGTGTTTGGTGTTCCTTTTAAGGCGGGTGATCTAGTATATTTACTCCAGGTACCAAACGCGTTAGTCCCAGCTAATTTGCATCATAAATGGGCAGGGCCGTACATGGTATAACGAGTGACATGTGTTATCAAAGATTCTAACGATCCGGCCAATCGACCCATGACAGTACATTTCAACCGGCTTAGGCCGTTCCGGAGCGAAGTACACCACACCGCGGGGGGGGGGGGCGAGTGAACCACCTGCGGACGTAACACTTGAAGTGGAAGTACCGGCTCAAGTTGGCTGCGGCTTGATAACGGGGGCGTTTCCCACTAGAGGGGGTGAGGTGTAAGGAATTATCGAAATTATTGTGGCGCGCGGTTGAATTTGAATCATTGCGTTTACGGCGTTTTTCTCGTTTACATTCCAGGGCGCCACTCCTGTGCAGTTCCGGAAGGACAAGTATCTGAAGAAATCAGTTAACTGTAACGTTTCTTTCACCTTTTTGTTACACTGATTTCCCTCTTATAGAGCCTACGTGTTGTGTAATGGAAGTTCCTACTCAACCTTTGGTGTTCTTTCTTGATTGCATACTACATCAGGGTTCGCCATTAATCGTCGAATTTGCTCGAGGTTGAAGTAGGGTCATGGAGAATCGGGTAAAGAATTACGGTGAGTAGAAATTTCGCGTTAATGAAGGTTTGGACTTTTCTGTCTTGGTGTACTTCTCCGGATTGCGAGGACTTGGTGTCCAGCTATCCACGCTGGACTTATGTCAAGTGATGTGTGCGGTTGAATCCTGGTTTGAGCATCGGTCCAGTTCAGGATCCCAGAAAGTTCTGCATTTGTTAGCTTCCACCCAGTTTGCTTGCAAGCCGGATATTAACCACGGAATTACAATCGAATGTCTGCTTCCATTGTGTTTGTTGTGTACTCCAGGTATAACATCCTCTTCAATTAAAACAGCTATACTTTGACTGTGAGTTGTTTCTTCCCGAGGTTCTGCATCATTTAGGAGACTGGAGTCTTTCGATGTCCCCTAGACCATTCTAGATGACTACACAAGTAAATATTTGATACGCTAGCCAATTTACTCGTGGAAATATCGGCTGTTTCTTAACTGAAATAGTAACGATTTGTTACATTTGCAAAAGTGTTGATCCCCCGTTTGAGCACGGAGACCATCTGAACACTGTTGTCTTGCTCGAGCCAACTCTTCCTGTTAACTTTGGTCACCTCGTTTTCATTTCCCAGTGAACTCTACCGTAGATTTCCAGACATATTTAGGTAGAGGTTGGTCATTTTACCCTATTCATCGTACGTGTCATTTTCAGGATTTTACTTTATTCACTGATATTTCCCACTTGCATTTATTTAGACCCATGCGCGGAAACCCAACCTGTGGCGCTTATTGTTGAAACGTCAGAAAATATTCACCGGATAATTTTTTGAACTGCACTTTTGAGCAATAACATGTTGTCCCGCGTTTCCAAGCGTTTACCAACAATCAACAGTGTTTTCTATGACTGCAGTTCGTATCGTCCATCCTTTGCACTGTTCAGGCATAGCCGTATTCTGTAGGTTACTGCGTACATACTGTGCTGGTAATTAGACACCTCGCCGACTGATGATGGCAGCTCGAGTCGAGCGAACATGAAGCCAACAGCATGAAAGCTAATCGACTACCTCCAACGCAGTCTGATGGTACAAATACGGACTCGATGGATATTAGTTGATTTGGACCGATATTAACAATGCTCAACCACCGATCAAGAATCCAATAGCAAGAAAAAATGCGCCACATTTATGAGTAGTTTTAATTCATGCGAGATCTAAAATGATCTTGTCATTCTTCGCATAAAAGATTTTGATCCAGGACCATACTTCGTTTTTGATTCTTGTAATGTGGGACGTAAAGAAAACGCGTTGGTTCTTGGTATATATCACCAGCAACAGATTGTCAGCCAGCTTTCATTTCTCGCCCATTTGTCCTCAAAAGCTCCTACATTGTTTTTAGGGCTAGGCTAGTGGATACCTGGTTGCTATTACTAGCTCCGTGATGCTCCAACTTAACTCGTTTCTTACCTTTTCCATTCCAGGGTTTGCTTTCGTGTTACCACCACCGCATTTCATTAAATTACTTGGCCTCTGTTAACAGAGGCTCATTTGCGATTGTTGCTACCAGCATAGTACGGAGCTTTCAAAATGGTTTACTTAGTCTCTTAGAGCTTACATTCACTTGCGAGCGCTGTACCAGCATTTTAACTTTAATCCGCCATTACGATTTTAGTTGCTACTATACTACCGTTCTTGTCTGCTATCCGGATTACCAACATTCCTTGTACCAGTGGGGCTGGATGTTTTTGCGCCTCAAAAGCTGAGCCAGTCCTAGTCTACTTTTATTGATGTGACGGCTTGGCAGCTATTTTTGTTAGTTTACATAGCGCTCAGGTTTTTACCTTATTCATTGGTCACCACTTTTGCATGCTTCTTTCTGTACAGCCTTAATCATGTCGTCTTAAATGACTGGCAATGGATCAACCGTGTTTTGCACGGCTGTATTCTCCGTTATACTGTTGCCATTTTTGGGGTATTACCTATACTAATCCCCTATCACTCATTCTGACGCCTGTTAGTTCCGCCTCATGGTTATTCGCTAATTAGAATCTAACCGTTGAATCCGTTTACTTATTCTTACTACCCGTCTAGTTATGTATTCTCGGCGAGTGTCTACTACATTTTCATTCCCATCTCGCGGTCTCAGCTGAGTTTTGAAACCCCTTAACTGATTGGATGCGCTACTGCCTCATGATTTTCTTTACGGTTACTTATCATCATCAGGCTCTTTGCGCGAATTTTAGGTCGTGCACTGATGTGTCCATATAGTTTTGTGCATTATATAGCCTGGAGGTTATTATCTAGTATTTTACTACTACCACTACGATAGATTTCCATGTTTTAAGTCTCTGTTCAGTGGTATTAACCCAGTTTTGTCATCTACTCGCGATCACCGGTCTCACTGCAGAACCATGCGTTATTTGGAGATACCAAATGATTCAGTATGAGATTATCTCCAACAAGACATGGTTATTGCGTTCTCTGCGGCCCATTTGATGCTCTCCAGGGGGGGCGCACCTGCGCTTGTTGTTCGTCTGATATGTACCAACTCCTGTTTCACCGCCTATTTTACTCTTATTATTTTTTGTTCAGGTTCCTCTTCCGAGACTGGCGATACATCCTTATGGCTAACGGTCGGATGTGTATGCCTTGATGTTGACTCTACAGTGTGCATGGATGAAGGTATTGATGAATTGGCGAGGTTCCTTGGTCGATCACATGTTGTATCCAATATGTATGCCATTGAGATAACTTAAATTTTCTTGGTCTTCAGTACATCTAAAGCCATGAGCGGTGAACTTGATTTTACAGAAGCTCTCGACATTCGGTTACGCTTATTGAACCCTACTATTACGGATATTGATCGATTTCTCTCTTTGCGGAAACCTCCATTGACTTCGGGATTTAGGTATGACTTTTGTTTCGATTATCTTGCTCACTATCTTGTACAGTGTGTCATCACTTCACTCCTTAATTTCGTTCACCTTAGCTTCCTTATCTGGGTCGGTACCTGATGAATCTTTCGTTACAGACTACTGCTTACATGCAACTTGATTCTCAATCCCTTAGGAACATTTAGATCCGGAGATTTCCCAGGTTTATCTGAGTACGGTGTGTAAAATAAAAAATAAGATTAACATCTTATTATACGTTCATTTGTTTGATGAAGAATGTTGGATTTGTTTCTCTGATCCGTGAGCACCACACACACGTTGTCGCGCTTGGATCTACCACACTGCTCAATCGCGCGGTATCCAGACACCCTTCTCCATTTGACACATGTGCTGGTTTCGCAATTTTAGCCAATACACGGGTCTGTTGTTACACACCATTCGTCCTACTACTTCCGTGTCTTCTTAGTTATCTGGAATTGTCCTCGCCAGCAGTTACATAGATACGATAACTCTGTTAGGGTTGATGTGTTCTCCGAGCTGAGAAATTTTGTTGCAGACGTTTCATCGCCAAGCTATGCAGCATCCTCAATGCGGCTATTAGGGTCTGATTCGCTGAGCCTCGTAAGCCAATGCCTGATCCAAGTGAATATTGATCGGCTCTTGCTTTGAATGTCAGTCTTCGAAGCAGGAGCAGCAGGTGATCTGATTTACACCAGACGGATATTGCGAGGACAGATGGGGAGTGAACTGCAAGAGTTCTTCCAGCTCTGCGCTGATAGCTCGACACGGGGTCACTCTTGGAAACTGTTTAAGCCGAGGAGGGTCCGGATTCATTCTGATTTCACTCTATCAACTCGAGTGGTAAAGGACTGGAACAGGTTGCCTGAACTGGTCGTTAGTGCACAATGTGAGGAAAGTTTTAAGAAACTGTTAGACTTCTATCTGCTGAGTATGCAAGGATCCTGCTGTTTTCGATGCGACCGTAATGGTCCCTTGCGGAATACCGCCTCGCAGCATGTCGCACAATCCTTGCTCTGAACGGGATGTGATGGAGCTGACACAGGATGTCCTATCTGCTCTCTACCACTCCAATGAAACTCCAATGAGGAGCCGATCAATATTCACTTGGACCTAGCACTGGTTTACGAGGCTTTGCGAATCAGACCCTAATAGCCGCATTGAGGATGTTACCTAGCTTGGCAATGAAACGTCTGCAACAAAATTAGCCAGCTCGAAGAACACATCAACCCTAACAGACTTACCGTATCTATGTAGCTGCTGGCGAGGACAGTTCCACACCCCGAGCTACAGATATTCTTAATAATTTCCAAGTCTGTTAGCCTGAGCCGACTGCATGCCCATGGAGATTTAATAATTCAACTCAGCGGAGAACTTTCTTATCGACAATTTTCACCGAGCTAAATTATATATATGGTTGGCAGCATCCGGGTTCGGATTTGCCTGTCACTGTGGCCAGCCAAAGGACGCCTACGCCTACAGCGGGACCATGGATGGCTTGCGCTGCACCACCCACCGCTCTATCCACACCCCATATTCAGTGTAAACCCGAAGGAATAAGACCGGGAGGCATGTGGATGGGAGCCACGTTTCATCAACGGAGCCGGCCCACACTCCTTCAGGCAAACATAAGCACGCTGTATTTGGGAATCAAGTGCACACAATGCGGTGGCTGGACCGTAGTCCGCTCCACACTGAATGCATGGTACCGCTCTTCGAGCCTAGCACGGCCACAAGGACCGTGCACCCCGTCCCCTCCAGCAACGACCAACTGTATCCTGGAGCCAGTATGAACGAGATAGTGGGTAATAGACATGTAGGCACCTTGTCAACATGCACATCAAGCGCAGCCACACAGGGGATATCAAGCAGCAGCCAATCACTTTAAACGACAAGCTGAAATAAAATAAATCGAATAATGCATACAGATATGCCTATATAGCTCTTTAATAAATAAGCATCCGAAATAAATTTGTTGCCAAAAATTCTGCTGTAGTTTCAGGATGTCAGGAAGTATATTCTAAGAAAATGTCACCATCGCGAAAACATTATCAAAGTTAACTACAATTAACTTGAGCGACGTGTGCAAGTTAATAGAAGAGTTCATGTGGACAATAATGTGACCAACCCACCACCTGAAATAAAGAGACCAAGCATGCAACCAAACGGTTATTAAATCGAATGCAGCATATCTACAAATGTTGCGCCTGTTCTGTCTACCTTCTCAGCATGACCCGTCGTAGCTTCGGTGGTGGCCCCGAGTGGCCTCGCTCATGGCTCACTAGGCCAGCCTGACTCAGGCACTCGTGACCGCATATGCTACAGCACCATGCGCTCCGTGTTGATTAAGTACAACCCATCGGTGTTTGCCGCTTCCGCACTTGCCGCTCCTTCTCCGCATGCATGATGTCTTTCTCCTGCACCTCGGCAACTGACTTCGTGATTAGATCGAGCCACGCACGCCGATCAACCGCCTTCGATTCCCATGACTTGCAATCAAGATGAGAACTTGAGGGGCTCACTTTGGTCATGTCCTGGCAACGAAGCTTCGGTTTCCTCGCATGCCGGTTCCCAATACTCAATTGACCATATAATAGTTGTTTTGGCATCCTCGTCTAATCCATACGACTCACATGACCGAGCCACCTCAGATGTCTCAGCAAAAGTATGCAGTCCACTGCATACATTCCACTTTGTCGCAGCACTTTCGTGTCCGCAACTCTGTCGCACCAACTGATGCGCAGAATCCGTCACAAACACTGTTGATGGAACCACTCGAGATATCGCACATGCCGCCGGTACCTCGTCCACGTTTCACTGCCGTATCGAAGAACGGACAGCATAATGGACTTGTACACCACCAGCTTCGTGCCAACGGTAAGCAAACCCATTATTGGGTTTGCTTTCTACCAGCTACTGCTACTTTACTGCTATCAATCCTGCACTGAAGATGCCACCTCGAATGGTGGCGAAACGTCTGCAACCAAGTTGCCCAGCTCGGAGACCTCCACAACAACTGAGCGGATATTGGCAATCCGACCCCATGATCACGTGGTGTTGTGGCGGCATTGCCCACCCAGTAGAATGTGTAGCCAGCACCTGCTCAGCAAGCCGGGTTTCACTGAGCGCCGTAATATCGATGTGGTAGGGCGCCTGTTCCATCGCGACCAGTGCAGGGCGTTCACTCGAGTTCCGGTCCAGTAGTGTGCGCAGGTTCCAGCACCCGATGCTGAGTGCTTTCCGCGCAGACATACGATTGCATTGGTGGGTAATCGTACGCGAGGTGGTCGTTGTGCTTCGGAGGTTTGCTTGAGGGACTCCACCCAAAGCGTTTGGCTCAATAGCCTGACCCACAAGACAGTGGAGAGCAGGTTCAGCTCGGGAATGTGATTGCAGACAGATTGGGATCTGCTTGACGGCCGTCACACGCAGCCTTTCAGGTACTGAAATGATTCATATATTTTGCGGCCTTAGTAAAATATGCGTCTGCGATCACGACCAGACACAGGAGGCTTTTGGCGGGTTTGCAGCAATTTGACCAGGGACTACCTGGCTTGAGGCGGGCAGTAGCAAACCATTGAGCATCCGGAGGTGCCTTCCCACCGTTAGAGACAATGCGTGGCGTTCGTGCTCTACGCCAAGATATATATATATATATATATATATATATATATGACCGGTTAAAACTTTGCAACATTCAAAGGCTGGACAAGGGTTGGTCCGGTTCGAATAAATTGTATTGTTCGTCATTCGATCCTCCAATCAATGCTGATAATCAGTCACAGGTTCACAAAATAACACGGATCGTCTGTCCGATGAAGTGTCAGGGACAACTGAGTCACCGCCTGTGATCAAGGTGAACAACGATCGCAATACAATTCCAACCATTGCAAAAGAAGCACCTGCACTAGCGTCGTCAGCTTGCACAAATCAGGTTGCTTTAAGCTGATCGCAATGATATCGGCCGTCCATAGTAGGCGTACTCTAAGTCCTGCTTACTACTTTGGCGCAACGTAGAAACCTTTAATGATTCTCTGATCACGACTTGCCCACTTTGGACTAAATGTTTCAAAATAAAGCGCTTGATGCTTCTAACTGTGCGTTTTCACAATACTGATGCGCAAAGTTTTACTTTCCTTTTCACCAAGCGTCTGGTCGTGTGCCCGTTATATTACACCACTGACGCAAGCACATTGATGTAGCATAAAGGATTCGGACTGTAACAGGAGTTGATTTCTAACACGCTGGGTAAAAAATGGGGCATTTTCTGTGATCACATGCGGGTAGGCAGCAAGGAACAACTTGGCTATCGCATTTGAGTCTCCTGTTCAGTAATTCGGAGGTGTCATCTTTCAAAGCGACTGCAAGTTAAACATCCTTTTTCGACACCGTCATGGCCGTTTCTGGTCGGTCACAGCTCACATAGTGCCTCCGAATGAAAGGAGCGGGGTAATTGTTAGCTTGTAGTGTCCTAAGGATGCAGTCCTCATCGTTTTCCAAAGTTGCTGGACTACAAACGTTGTTGGCACGCGAATACAGTTAACGAACTAAGTTTCGTTTATACTTCAAAGATACACAGCTGCGAAAATGTGTGTAGTGGCCTATCAAGACAGACTTTCGATAGATGGTTCTCTGGAGTGTGACATTCCCTTCTCTGCTTAGCAAGATATCCAGGAAAGTTAGCTATCCTTCGTTTTCAGTTTCACTTGTAAACTTCAAATAAGAATGCTAGGTATTTAACGGATCTAGCAGAAGGGCGTCAGCATTTGTATCGCAAATTATAAAGCGCTCGTCCATGTAACTCCAAGCACGTCAGTCAGCGGTTTGTGATCAGTGAAGACGGCATACGTGCGGCCTTCTAGACATATCGGAAGTGACACATGACTAATGGACTTCCTTGCGGAATGTACTTTTACGTCATCTGCAGGTTGCTTGCATTTAGAGAAAAATGCCAACAGTTGCCAGGTATCACCTACCTGTTGCTGCAAGTCAGCGC